CATACAAGGGCCAAAACGAGGCACCACAGAGAACCACAAATGGCCAGGCAGAGAAATGAGCAGTTAGGTGATGACTCCCAGACAAAGTTCACTAAGGATCGCGTTCATTTGGGCCTGCAGGGCACTGACTGAATCCACTGTCTACACTGCCCTCAGGGGATCAGGAGATCCTTTGTGTACAGACAGCTGGCCCAGAAAGTCCAGGGTCAGGGGTAAAGCAAAGTCCAGGAAGAACAAGTCAAGGGAGAATGTAACAAAACCTCAATCCACGGAAGTCTGACACAGGAGGCCATCTCCAGGTGGGCCAGGACTTCTGTTTCTTGTTATCAGGAAGATCTGTTGCTCTCTCTTCTTCCCTCGTGGAACAAGGATTCTGCCTACCTTCTTCTGCTTTTAGTGGTGCAGAACTGCCAAACTGCCTTGTGTTAATTGCAGTATCTATAAAATCTGAGTTCCAGCCAATGCTGCTACAGATCCCTGTTTATTCAGAGCAAATTTTTATTCAGAGAGAATGAATTATTATAGCTCCTTGCCCTTACAATGAATTTCAGGAAATTGTGGACATTTCTTTGTGATAAATTGTTTAAGTATACATACAGTTCATCAACCAGGGTTTGAAAATCTCAGCATTGCTTCTTTTGGATTTAGAAAAGCCGGAATAGAACTCTTAGTGATGTAAACAATAATAATAAAAAAAGCGTCATCTTAAACTGTAAACATGAGAAATGAGCAGAGCAGATGGTAAGGGCAGGGCATGTAAATATCTCTAGCTCTGAAGAGACGAACGACGACAGACAGCAGCAACAGCCAGTGCTTTTACCCCTCTGCCCCAGACTGGGAGGCTCTCCGACTTCTGCTCATGATTTTCTCGCTCTCCTTCACAGTATGCGGAAAGCCCAAGAATCCAGTGGAGCAGGTGCAGCGGATTATAGGTGGATCGGTGGATGCCAAAGGCAGCTTTCCCTGGCAGGCTAAGATGCTGTCCCGCCACAATCTCACCTCGGGGGCCACCCTGATCAATGAGCAATGGCTGCTGACCACGGCTAAGAATCTCTTCCTGAATCACACACCTGATGCAAAGCCAAAAGACATTGCCCCTACTTTAAGGCTCTATGTGGGGAAAAAGCAGCTTGTGGAGATTGAGAAGGTGGTTCTCCACCCTAACTACTCCGAGGTCGACATCGGGCTCATCAAACTCAAACAGAAGGTGCCCGTTGGTGAGAGAGTAATGCCCATTTGCCTACCTTCAAAAGATTATGCGAAAGTGGGGCGTGTGGGTTATGTGTCTGGCTGGGGCCGGAACGCCAACTTTAATTTCGGTGAGCTACTGAAGTACGTCACGCTGCCGGTGGCTGACCAAGACACCTGTGTGAAGCACTACGAGGGCAGCACTGTGCCCGAAAAGAAGACACAAAAGAGCCCTGTCGGAGTGCAGCCCATACTGAATGAGCACACCTTCTGTGCTGGCTTGTCCAAGTTTCAGGAGGACACCTGCTACGGCGATGCTGGCAGCGCCTTTGTTGTGCACGACGAGGAGGACGACACCTGGTACGCAGCCGGGATCCTGAGCTTCGATAAGAGCTGTGCTGTGGCTGAGTACGGTGTGTACGTGAAGGTACCCTCCATCCTGGACTGGGTTCAGCAAACCATAGCTGCCAACTAACGCAAGCCTGGCTGCCAGCCCTTGCCCGAGAGCGAGATTTCACTCTGGAAGAGGGAAAACTGGAGGGGAGTGGGGGGAAGCTGATGGGCTCCAGCCCTGCACTGCTGAGTCAATCAATAAAGAGCTTTCTTTTGACTTATTTCTGTGCTCTTTTTAGCCTTTTTTATTCTCTCATTTATGGTACAGCAGCAGCCAAGTGCTATAGAGTCTACTGGGAGTGTGGCAGAAAACACCCCAAGCCAACTGGAAATCCCTAAGGTGATATGCGGATCATACTCATAACTCTGAGGCCTACTGAATGGCAGGCCTCAGAAAGGTCACTGTTATCCCTGTTTTATAGACAAGGAAACAGAAACTCAGAGAAGCTAAGTGATTTGCTTAAGGTTACACAGCTATTAAACAGTGAAGCTGAACCTTGAACCTAGGTCTGTCTGAATACAAACCCTGAGATTTTTCATGGCATCCTTTAGCCTCTTCGAGGTGAATTAGGAGAAATGGCGCAGGCCTGGTGAGGAAGATGCCAGCTCAAAGTGGGATAAAAACAAGTGTTCTGACACAGACAGTACTTTATTGTTTGTGCTCCAACACACTAGCACGCCAGAAAACAAAGTAAGATCATGGACAGGCAGGCTCTCTGGACTTGCTGGGGCCAAATGACAGCTCAGCCATAAATTTGCTGAGTGCCTTAAGCTCCCTGCCCCTCAGTTCCCTGGTCTCTTCCATGAGGGGCTTAAATCAGACCATCTCTAGAGTCCCTCCCGGCAGTAACATTCTGGGGCTTGGTAAAGAGTTAGAAGTCTTTTCCTCAGTAGGAGCTGCTTTTCCCACCTGGAAGAAACGCACCCTTTGCCAGGAGTCAAAAGCAAGCCGTCTGAGTCTTCCATTTCACAAAGAAAAAGGTCCTCTATCATGGGTCTCCCGGAAGAAAGGTTCCAGAACCCTTGTAAACAGTTAGCTCCTCTAACTGAACTCTTTCTTGCTATAAACCCCCAGTACACTGACTCTTCACAATATACCTTCTCATCATACCAAAATCCAGCCTCTCCTTCTCATGGGGTAAAATGCCACCTGATGTCACCCTGCTCTCACCAGGCTCTGGCATCCACTGTGAAGTTCTCCTCACATGCACCTCCAGATCCATTGATATATTTCAACAGGTTAGAGCCAGTGGACCAATGAAGGACTTAAACCTGTATTTTTAGAACCTGTGAAAGAGATAACAGCCAGAAGCTGAAAAAGCCAGAAGTTTGCATTCAAACACATAAAAAAAATGCCTCTCAGAATACAGTCAGTTATACCTTTTTCTTCTGGTAGCACCTTCAGAACTAAATTTTCTTGAAGAATAAACCACCCCAGCTTTCTTGAAGAATTATCTGATTGTATTAAGTGGCTGCTGGTCACCACTCAGGAGGAAAATAATAAGAGAAAACCTCTGGTATTTTCTTTTTTTTTTTTTTTCTTTTTTCCCCCAAAGCCCCAGCAGATAGTTGTATTTCATAGCTGCACATCCTTCTAGTTGCTGTATGTGGGACGCGGCCCCAGCATGGCCAGAGAAGTGGTGCGTCAGTGCACGCCCGGGATCCGAACCCCGGGACGCCAGCAGCGGAGCGAGAGCACTCAACCGCTAAGCCACGGGGCCGGCCCTGGTATTTTCTTGATTGACTTATTTTCTCTCCCTTACTCCCCAGCAGCACCTCCTGCCCTCCTGGCCTCCCCATGGGGTTTCAGTGACAACAGACTCTGTGTACACTCCTACTGTTGCCAGCTCTGGGCCTTCTTCCCTCTGGGCCCCTCTGCTGAACCGCCCTTCCCCTTTCTGCACGAGCACCTCCCACTCTCCTTGAAGGCTCAGGCACGGCCTCCTCTAAGAAGCCCTTTTTCCTGTCCAGGAGTCATCTGTATTTATGCAGCATCCGGCAGAGGACAGGGCATAGAGTAGGTAATCGATAAATACTCATCGAATGGAAAGCAACTAAGACAAGAACAAAAACATAAATCAGGACTTCAGAGGAAGACTCCCTAAAGCCCTCAGGAGGAAGGAAGATATGAGGATTTATGCATGCAAGTTCTGAGTCTTTGCTTGTATCTGAGCACTTACCACACATCAAATACTGTGTGATTCAGGCAGTGAGTGACAGAAAATCTGACTAACAGCGACAGGCAATGAAGACGTTTTATTCTCTCATAGAGGTCGGGGGGGTGGGGGGTAGCTCTAGAGTTCATTCAGTCACATCACCAGGGACCCAGGCTCTTTTTCATGTTCTTCTCAGCATATTCATTCTTCATCCCAATGCTGGTCGCCTCACGGTCCTAAGATGGCTGCTGCCGTTCCATGCGCCATGATTACCATAAAAGCAGGAAGTGGGGGAGAGGAGGAGACGGAAGTGGTGGTGAATGGGTTTTATTTTGTCTTATTCCTGGAGTGGCACTTTCCTTTTATTAGCAAAGGACACAATAGTGCCCAGCAGCCTTCCTTCCATGCCACTTTAGTCAGAACCAGGTTGTGTGGTCACCTCTCTTTGCAGAAAAGGCTGGGAAAGGAAGCACCTGGCAAAGGGGGCAGCCTGGCAGTGACAGTGCTGCCCTGCACAGAACTGGGCTTCTGTTGCAGGAAGGTCCATGGCTGCCAAGCAGGTCACATGCTGCCTGGCCCACTGCCCTCTGGCTCTGCATCTATTCTCTCATTCTAGAAAGTTAGCACCAAGAGCCCCAAGAGGTTTTGAGAGGAGCAGTAACTTGCCCAACTGGTGGCAGGTTGTGCCAGGGGAAGAGCAAGAATTCTTCGTAAAGTTACTAAAAACAGGCAAATCCCATAAAGATGATATTTTTTCTCACAACTCTGACACCTCTTTCCAGTCTTGAGGCCTTGAAGTAAAATTTTCTGCCTCAGGAAGAGGCGAAAGTCTGACTTCTGGGAGAGATCTGCTCCTACTTATTAAGGGTAGTTAATTCTTTGTTTAGCTCAAATTGGGTGCTAGATGGTAAAGGTTCAAGTTCTCACGTCTTGGGGAATTTAATAACATAAAAGCTAGTAAAATGAGCAAACCAGGACACTGTTTTCAAAGTCTGAGCCAGAAAGGCGCCAAAATAAAACAAACTTGCCTGCTACAGTAGAGAATTATTTATTCCAAGAGAAACTAGAATAATAAAGACTGGAGGTAGGAGAGCATGAGGACTATAAATATATGAGTGGAAGAAGGGGTGAGGCTGAGGGTGAAGGAGGGTGTGTGTGTACAGCCAGGTAGAAGGTAAGTACTTTTGTTCTTATGGGAGTTGACCTTCCATTTTACTTGTGTATCAAACACAGTTAAATCAAATTGTACCAGCCATTGTTTAGGAGGCTCCTGTATTACAATAAGGGATAAAGAAAAGCACAGTCTAGAGAGAAGTTAAGAAAATCACGCTGGGAAACTGAGCACGGTTGATGGACTGCTCTGAAGTCTGCGGGGAGTAGGCATGTAGGCACCCGGTCATCACAGTACTGGCTCGGTCTTCCACTTGGGGGTCAGTATTTTCTAAACAAGTCAAACCTCTCATCTGCTGGGACACTGAGCACGCTCCTAAAGGATTCCGGAAAAGCAGCACACATCAGGTTCTGTTTCAAGATGTGCCTTTCTCTTCAACTTTGATAGGAGTGAATGTGCTAAATGTCTTGATAGAGAAGGTCATATTTGGGAATATTCTTGGGATCAATAGGACTTTGGACAATCAGTTTTCCCCTCATTGCTCCTCGATAAATTACTTCAATCAAATCTATGAAGTCTTGTTTGGTTTTGAAACTTCCCACAAACTTAGTGTGATCTGGAGACCTAGACAGCATAGAAGAGAAACAACCTCGCTCAGAACTTTTAATACTTACTTGCTGAAGACCTTTAGGATAAACAGAATGAACAGGAGCTCTGTTACTTTCTTCTTGTCTGGGAGACTTCAGACATAAAGCCCGACATTGCCTTTACATTTCCGATTACAGGGCCTGTTTGATAAATGACTAAAACTGGTGCTGCGGGCCACTGGGGTAGCAGGCAAGCTCCCCCATGTGAAATGCTTCTGCTTCACGATCTATTTTAATCACTTTTCAAATCATTATCAAGTAGAATTCTCTGAGTGTTGGCCTGGGCATAGTTTGTTTTTTGGTTGTTGTTTTTGGTCAGGCACTGTGCAAACCCTCTTAACTAGTTGTGGTCTCTGAGTTCCAGTAGCTTCTACTTTTGAGTGGTGGGTACTGAATTTTTTTTTTTTTTACTATTTCAAACATCAAGTGTGTTTATTTTAGAAATTTTTTAGAAAAAAATAAAATCACCAGTGACGCCAGAGGCCACTGGGTGTATATCCTTCCAATCATTATGTATGTATGTATAGGTTTGTGTGTATGTACATTTCTTTCTTTTTTGTTTTGCTGAAGAAGATTCACCCTGAGCTAACATCTGTTGCCAGTCTTCCTCTATTTTCTATGTGGGTTGCTGCCACAGCACAGCCACTGATGAGTGGTATAGGTCCGCAGCTGGGAACTGACCCCAGGCCGCCAAAGTGGAGCGCACCAAACTTAACCACCAGGCCATGGGGCCGGCCCCCGCATTTCTTTTTTCACAACAATAGGAATCATACCATACAAACTATTTTGTAACGTGCTTTTAGCAGTTAACATATATTTCTTTCTAAGTCCTAAACATCATCTACCACATCAGAGTAAATGGATACCTAGTATCTCTCTGTGGATATCTACATTCTTTCTAAGTATTTTGCTTTCTAAACAACGGTGGGATGAATACCCACACAGCCAATTTTGCCCACTTTCATGATTATTGTCCTTCAGATAAATTCCTGGAAATGCAATTGCTGGGCTAAAAATTTTATACATTTTTAAGGTGTTTGATATGTATTGTCATAAATTGCCCTCTAAAAAGATTGCACCAAATTAATACTTACAACAACTGTATTCTAGGAGACTAGATAGCTTTAAAACACTTAAAACATACAACATTTGACACACTTTCAAATTGATAATGACAGAGCAGGTACACAGATCTAGACAAGTGGACACCTCAGCCACAGTAAGAAATGATAAGAATTATGGATATATTCAAAATAAATATTAAGTACTGGGGTGCTGACTGGATGAAATTGAAGGCATGAAAGATTTCATGTTACCTATTCTTTTTTGTGTGTGTGTGTGAGGAAGACTAGCCCTGAGCTAACATCCGATGCCAATCCTCCTCTTTTTCACTGAGGAAGACTGTCCCTGGGCTAACATCCGTGCCCATCTTCCTCTACTTCATATGGGACGCCGCCACAGCATGGCTTGACAAGAGGTGCGTCGGTGCACACCCAGGATCCGACCCAGCGAACCCCAGGCCGCCAAAGTAGAACTTGCACACTTAACCGCTACGCCACCCATGTTACTTATTCTTTACAGGTTTTGTTGAAGAATGACTTTGAAATTCTCTGAGTGGCAGAAGATAGGAAACTTGGCAAGAGAAGCATGTCTTAGTTTGCAGGAAGGAATATGTCTTTTATAACTGCAACCTACTAGTCCCAAAAGTTTAAGAACAAAGATATATTTTGTTTAAGTGAAATTCCTGGGAAACTTGAAAAAAAACCTGTTCTACATTTTCTACCTGAAGGATGGTTAGTGCTTCATGAACCATACTATTCTTTCATACTTAAGTAGGAAATTAAAATTTGCCAACCACACCAGAACACTCATTTTGCACCAAAGTTTCACATAAAAATTTAGAGAGTGCATCAGTGGAGGAAACAGTACCAACACAAGACTCACAGAGCCACCCTCACATGCAAACAGGTGAGTTACTGGAACTGCGTAGATGAAGGAAACTTTTAAGACCGCAATAACTTATGTCAACCTAACTTACCCATAATCCACTTTCATATGCTGCCCATTGAAGAAAAACACAGTAGATGGAATATAGCTGATGTCAAAATAGTGTGTATAAACTGGAGTTTGGTCCACATCTACCAGATATATAGCAGCCATTTTACTCAAGTCAGAAGAGGTCTTAGAAAGCTGCAAATGAAGAGAGAGATGTAGGTTATAACATGAGAGGTAGCTAAGGTTTCTTCTATGAAACTTTTTAGTAGAATAGTTTTCTGTTTGAAAAAAATTCCTGGGAGGCTGGCCCCGTGGCATAATGGTTGAGTCCAGCGTGCTCCACTTTGGTGGCCCAGGTTCGTGGGTTTGGATCCTGGGCCCAGATCTACACCACGTGTCACCATGCTGTGGCAGTGATCCACATGTGAAGTGGAGTAGGACTGGCACAGATGTTAGCTCAGGGTCAATCTTCCTAGAGCAAAAGAGGAAGATTGGCAACAGATGTTAGCTCAGGGCTAATCTTCCTCAGCAAAAAACAAACAAACAAACAAACAAATAAATAAATAAATAAATTCCTAGGCCCAGAATCTAGCCTGCTTGAATTCCACATTAGACACAGTGTAACCTTATCATTCAGAGTCTGAATCACTGTTGGGAGGGTTATGAGAAGGCCCTGGGTAAATCGTGTGAACATATTTCTTCACTTTTTTTTTTCTATTTTTGACTAGAAAGGTTTTTATTTTATTTTATTTTTATTTTTATTTTTTTTGCTGAGGAAGATTCACCCTGAGCTAATATCCATGCCAATCATCCTCTATTTTTCAGTATGTGGGCCAGCAAAACAACATGGCTGCTAACAGAGTGGTGTAGGTCCATGCCCGGGAACTGAACCCAGGCTGCTGGAGCAGAGCACGCCGAACTAGGCCCCTGGGGCTGGCCCTGACTGTAAAGTTTTTATAAACTTTTTATGGATTTATCAAATCCATGCTCACTTAAACAAAAACACAAAACAATTCAGAAGTATGTACTAGACACTGAAATTCCCCCAAGTCTCTTTCCTTCCAATCCCCCCATAAATGATACTTATAATAGCAAACACCTACATGGCACTTAAGATGTGCTAACTGTCCTAAGCGCTTTATACTTGTTAACTCCTTTAATCCTTACAACATTTCTATGAGGTATACACTATTACAGTTCCCATGTCACAGGTGAGGAGACCGAGGCACACGGAGGTAATCTGCCCCTTGTCACACAGCTAGTTAGTATTAAGGCTGGGATTTGAACTCAGGCAGCTTCAGAGTTTATACCTTTGACCCCTAGTGACAGTCCCTCTCTGCTACAGCTGAGGGTGTAATCCTCTGGCCCTTCCCCCCAGGTAACGCATCACACACTCATTTTCAATCACAGTAATGAGGATTCTTAAAATTGATCCACATAGTGGGTGTCAGTAATAAAAATGGTGGAAGAGGTCTTAGTCCAGGGTAAGTCTCTCTCCATAATAAACAGAGACAAGAATAAACCTACTCTGTCCCATACTCCCCACCAACTCATCAGAGTGTGAAGATGTGCTGTGAAATCACAGATTATCATCAGGCATACACTGGAGGCAGCACACTAGAAAAGCATATTTGCAGGCAGAGGAAGCGAAGCTCAAATCCCAGCTCTGCCATGTAGTGGTTCTGTGCCTGTGGGAAGTCACTGATCTCCCCGGCATTCAACTGCTCCTCTGGGAACAGTAATAGTAATTATCTAACTGTTGTGAGCAATAAGATGATGTTCACAGATGCTTGTTATTAACGTTTTCTGCTCTTCGCTGCCTTGTTGGTGATGCTGAGCTTCGACTGCTGTTAGTGGGGAAGCACATCCAGGACAGGCTCAGCACAATCCCAGTTTAGGGGTCCAGCTCAGGGCAGACACACGATCAACTCTTAAAGTGTGCTAATGAATGAAGGGCTACATCCCTGGGCCCTGCCTGCTCCCTTTCATGCACTTTGCAGATGCTGAAGTGAGAATGTATAGATTTTTAATGAAAACCATTTCTTTTAAAAATTCACTTACAATATCATCTAGCTGCAGACAGACAGGATCCTCGTCTCTCCCAAACCTGAGGACCAGCACCTTCTCTGCAGTACTTTTTATCACCTGGTCTACTTCTTTTTTGCTAGTCAGCTTGGGCAACAGGAAGCTCATCTTGAAATAATCCAAATATTAATCCTCACTGTTAGTCCTAAAATCAAGTCGTAATGTTTAAAGACAGTTAGACTAAGTGCATGAGTCCTAGTTAAACAAATTAAAAAGCTTTGGAATAGGTAATATATTCACAAGGTTTAAAAAGAAACAATATAGAAAGACATATTGTGAAAAAATCCCTTCCTCCGGCCCAGTTCTCAGTGCCCCATTCCCCCCCGACACCAGGTAACTACTTTCATTAGTTTCTCATGTATCTTCCAGAGTTTTGTTATGCATTCACAAGAAAAGACAAATATGCATTCCTATGGTTTCTCCCTTTTTTACCCAAAAGATAGCCTATTGTATCAGTCAGTTTTCCAGCAGGAGAGAGATGACATCCTCAAATTTGGTAATTTGAAGAGACTTTCATTAAGGCAGGGTGTAGGAAACAACAGGTACAGTGCTGTACTCTGGGGCTAGTCACAGTAGGGCGCTGTTCCCACGTGAGGCCTGAGGGAGCCACGGGAGGGAGGAGTTAGCAGAACTGTGTGGGAGGACTGCTGAATGGAGAAGGCCGCTGTAGAGGAGGCCAGCCTGCAGTTAAAGGACGCAGCCACTCTCCTCCCTCCCTCTGATCTGCTAATGCTCCCACTGGCTGCCTCCCTCTGGAATCAGAGGGCAGGGGAGCTGCAGAAGCAGGCAAGCCTCCTGTCCCACAGCAGTCTAGAGAAGGAGGAAGAGTGGATCTCGAGGAGCAAACGACAGATGTCCTGCACATACAATTTACCCACTCCTCTGCGCTTTACACCTTTTTACCTAACATAAGAAGATCTTCCCATATCGCTACACAGAAAACTTCACATTCTTTGTCACAGCAGCATTCTATTTCATGTATGGACCATACTTTTCAAACAGTCCTTTACTGACGAACATTTGTATTACCATGAGTCCTGGCTTAAAGATTCTTGGTGCATATCTTACTAGGTGCACCTATCTTATCACATGGCAAACACCGATTAAGTGTGTGTGAAAACCACATAAAAATAAACAAATCGTAAAATACTGAGATAGAAGGGGCCTAATCTAACTCCCTCAATTTACACACTTGTTTGTTTATAGTTACAGTCTTAGCTAAAGAACTAGAACTAGAATCCAGGCCACCAGATTTCTACTTCAGCATTCTTTCTACTACAATAAGCTCCTATTTTTATGACTGAGAAACTCTTTGATCAAGGAGCTTTATTTTTGAGTCCATCCATGAGAGACTCCATCGAGATACTTGATATTTTGAATTCATTTCCAAAGTTGGCTAAAGCTAATAAAAGGGAGGATTTCTTTCTGTATTTTTTTTTGTGACAAGTCACATTTTAAGATATGAATTAATAAAAATTCACATAGGAAATGAAATAGTTCCAGTAACAGGTCATACTTTAAAAAGGGAAGTTGATTGCCAGATGGGACTTCATCAAATGTGAGTGGCAGAATAAATTACTGATGAGAGGGAAAGGCGAAGAAAAGATGGCTCTGTCCCACCACTAGAATTCAAACTAACAGCAACTCCCCTATGTTACTGATGAAGAGGAGGAAGTGAGGGGAGGACAAAGCTGTCAATAGGAGGGGAACCTGGGGGTTGGAGAGGTGTGGGGTGGGACTGGATAAATGTTGGAAAGAGGAGAGAGAAACTGAGACCATACCTAAGAAAATGTCCATAGCGAAGGATACCAACAGCGAATTCACAAAAGAAGAGGTACAAATGGACAAATATATTTGGAAAGTTAAGATTTACTACTAAGCAAAGGAAAGCAAGTTAAATGATATATTTAAAAAAGCCATTAAATTGGCAAAGATTAAACAATGATGGCAGGAGTGTGAGTGAAGGGGCAGGCATTCATAGTCTCTGCTGGAATGTAGAGGAGCAAAACTTCTCTAGAAAGAAAACTGAAATACTCTTTGGCTAACAATGCCATTTCTGAGAATTCCTTCTTAGTAAGTAATCAGACGTGTGCACAAAGATTTAAATAAAGGACATCCATCACATTTATAACGGTGAAAAACCGGAAACAACCTAAATGGCCATCAATAGGGGACTGGTAAAATAAATGACAGTGCAGTCCTGCCATGTACTATTATACAGTCGTTAAATATTGTGTTAGAGATGAACACTGCAGATACTGAAGTTCTCCATGAAGAAAAATGTTATAAAATAGTATATGAAGATCCCCTTTTGTACAAAACCTACCTATAACGCATCTGTACATATTAACATAGAAAAATAACTGGAAATGAATATCCCAACACACCATCAGTGGTAATCTCTGCGTGTGAACAGACGAGTGATTTTTATTTACATTGGGGTGCGCGTCTTTACTTTTCCAAAATACCCGACGTATATGTTTTTAACGATGCCTGTGATTAGGCTATTCCTGGCCCACAACTGCCAGGGAAGATGATACTCACTGTACTTGTACAAGTCACTTCCCTCTTTTCCACTTCAGGGCTGTCGGCACCTCCGACCCTTCTCCAAAAAGCCGGGACGCGGGCGGCTCCTTTCTTTCGTCCCAACCGCCGCAGCGACCCTACTCCAAAGTACCCCCAGGGGCTGGTGCCTAGCAACCCTCAGCGGCCCACTTGAGGGGACGGAAACGGAAGGAGAAAACGCACAGCCGCAGTAGACCGACGCGAGACAGTCCCCACTCAGCCGCTCAACAACAAGAACAGACTGTTCTAGTCACCGCCCCCTCCCCCGGCTCTGACCGGAAGCCTTAGAGTCACTTCCGCCCTTATTAAACATGACCGACCTCTCTGCCTCTCCTTCCCCCTTCTCCGACTAGAGGCGGGCCTTCGCCTCTTAGACTAAGCGTGATTGGTCGCAAGGAGACTCGGAAGTGTCTCTGATCAGAGCCCCACAGGAGGGCACTCTAGCCTTGAGAGCGTGGTCGCGTTGTGTCCCACACAGGGAGCCCGGAACTGGCGTTTTCCGGGCTGCTCTCGATGGTACCCTTGGACAGATAGAGGGGACCGCGCAGCGTTTCATGGGACAATAATGGCGGCTTTCGAGGTTGAGGTTTTGGCTCTTTAAGGCGGTCTGAGCCAGGAGTGGCGGCACCGGCGCCCCAGAATCCGGGACAGAAGGTCCCGAGAGTCGGGCTTGGTGAGGTGAGTGTCCCTTCTTCCTTCCTGACGTGCCCTTCGCCAATCATGGCGGCTCCAGGCGGCGGATATCAGTCCCTCGCTCAGGTTCTGGCCTGGGTTTGGCAAGTCTTGTCCCTGTCACCCAACTTGCCTCACTCACCCTAAGGATGCTGCGCCAGTTCGTCGTGCCCCGGCCTTTCTCCTTGCTCTGGTCAGATCCTGCTGCCTGGGGCGGCCTCACTGGGGTCCAGGGATGCTGCCCGGGGTCCACCCTTCCTCAGGTCTCGGCATTAGCTCCCTCCCAGACGGACGCCGAGCCCAAGTAGGGCTCCTTGTGTCTTCCTCTTCCGTCACAGTGTATCTCTACCAGGCCATCTCCTCTACGAGAATATCAACTCCAAGAGGGCGGGGCATTTGTCTGTCTGTTCTCTGCTCCATCCTATTGCCCAGAACAGCGATTGACTCACAGAACGCACTCAATGAATAATTGTTGGATGAGTAAATCCAGTTTCTTTCTTCATCGTTTTTCTCCTATCCCTTGTGGCTTCTTTGCCATTAATCCTTCTCCGGAATCTAGCCCTTAACTCCTTATTTGTTCTGCTCAGCAGCGAGTTAAGTCTGTCAGACTCCTTGTCCTGTGCTGCTGGTATCTTCCCTTGCTGTCTGTAGAAATGTTTGGCCTCTCATCTCTTATAATCAGTTTAAACTCATTTATTCATTTATTCATCAGACGTTTATTTTGCTAGGTACTGGGCATAGCAGTCAACAAGACAAGGTTCTCTCTCCTGCATAGAATGACGTTCTAGGGATATATTTTCTAGTTCAGACTACTGCTGAGCAGAGTCTGTGTATCTTACCTTCCTATTTAGATATCCTCACATGCGGACAGATGTTACCAATATGCAGCTTCCTTTTCTATTCTGCCTGATGGCATTTTTCAAAATTCATCTCTTGTTTCTGTCCATGTTATGAGTCTGGTCTGTTTGGCAATATTCTTCTATAGAGCTGTGCATGTTAATTAGAGCTGGGCAACACCTTCTGGATTCTGGTGGTACCCTACCCCTTGACAGTTCCTTTGCTTCACTGACTTGTTGGAATGAGGAGAATTATCCAAGCACTCAGAATTGAGTATGTTTATAAACGGATGGTGTGTAGCGGGAGGTAAAGAGGAATTTGGTACAAGTTGAATGCCAGGAAATCTTGCAGTCACCTTGATACTTTTTAGAAACATTGTTTCCCAGCCTAGTGCTTCTCATCAGTATTTGTGGTGAACATGGATTGTTATTAAACAGATTTTGACTGCTGTGAGGTTTTTCTTTTCTACAAAACACAACTAATGTATGGATCACATGGATAGTAGGCTTATACCCCTCTATCTCTACTTTGCTGTATCTGTAGTTTAAAGGGAGGGACAAGTAGAAGAACTCATGTAAAAAAATGATAAGAGACTCATTCAGTATATAGGAGCACAGCAAATAATGTAACAGTTCCGTTTGTGTAGTTTTTATGGTTACAGAGAGCATTCAGATGCACTTCCTTGTTTGATTCTCACAACAACTTCATGGATTAGATAAAGCAAAAATTATTTCCATTTTACAGATATAGAAATTATGCCTAACCAAAGATTAAGTTATTTTTACAATCATACAGGTAGAAAATGTCAAGAGCCTGGATTCTAATTATGGTTTCTGACTACAAATCTTTTGGTATTTCCCCTATACTCCCTTTATAGATGCCACCATGCTTTAGTAAGTGTCCCTTAGTGAGGTCTGTTCTTGCCTGGATGATATCCTCTTGGATCCTGGTGTTTGGCTTGCGTGTGTGGGGTGTGTGTGTGTGTATCTATTTCTGATGTGTCTTGGGGTGGTGGTAAGAGGATCTTTTGAGATTGTCAATGACTCGATGGCAAGGTCTTGGCAAGAGATAGCTAAAGAAATCCTGGCCTTGAGATGGAGGTTAACTCCCTAAATATACCTATAACTACAATTATCCTTGGATATAGCCGAGCCAAACTTTCTCTCCACTTATGTCTAATACCAAGTGATTTGTCTTCCTTCCAGAGAAATCTCAGAGCCTGTCATGGAGGACACCAGCGAGGATGCCTCGATCCATCGATTGGAAGGCACTGATCTGGACTCTCAGGTTGGCGGTCTTATTTGCAAGACCAAAAGTGCAGCCAGTGAGCAACATGTCTTCAAGGCCCCTGCTCCTCGCCCTTCATTGCTGGGACTGGACTTATTGGCTTCCTTGAAACGAAGGGAGCGAGAGGAGAAGGATGATGGGGAGGACAAGAAGAAGTCCAGAATCTCTTCCTACAAGGACTGGGAAGAGAGCAAGGATGACCAGAGGGACGCTGAGGAGGAGGGCAGTGATCAGGCTGGCCTAAGTAGCCGAAAAGACAGGTAAAGGCCTTAGGGTGGATTGACCCAAAGGGAATGAAAATGGAGGCCTGAAAATAACATCCCATGTTTCTCTCTCAGTTTCTTGTTGGACATTTAGAGCTTTATGATTTTATTATGATTTTTTAATATTGAGGCTAGATAGGAAGTGGTATTTTCTTCAGATTTATGGGAAACATTCAAAGGCAACTGAGGAGTAGATGATGGGATTAGAAATGCTTTGCGTTGTCATGTGTAAGTCTGTAGTACCAGGGAGATAAGTGGAAAAGGACAGGTCACTTGTTTGGCGCAGCGAAAGTTTTGGGGCAAGGTTTTTTTTCCTATGGAGGGGCTCTTGACCAGCTGCCCTCCCTGTTTCAGACATTACCGAACTGCTCGGGTGGAGACTCCGTCCCACCCTGGTGGTGTGAGTGAAGAGTTTTGGGAACGCAGTCGGCAGAGAGAGCGGGAGCGGCGGGAACATGGTGTCTATGCCTCGTCCAAAGAAGAAAAGGATCGGAAGAAGGAGAGATCGCGGGATCGAGACTCTGACCGCAAGAGAGACAGAGGTAGACTGCCCAGCATCGTTCCTATCGCCTCTTAAGCATGTGAATTAACATGTGCGCCTTTTTCCTGTTGCAGGAGTTTTTGTAACGCCGGTTAATTAGGGAGGCCCGTTTGCATGTCACCCTAGTTGGTGTTGACCCTGCTGGGATTGGGAATAGTAGGCAGTTTGAGAAAAGAGCTGTTACTTGCAACATAGCTACTTTGCTTGAGTGTGTGGTCCTGGTTTTATTGTGAAAGTTGGTGATAAAGGTGATAATGGGTAATATGTGTGAGAAGCGAGAGTTTACAGTAGCGTTGGCGACAGAGAAAGGACAGTGCTGTGGAGCAAAGCTAGGCGTAAAATGCAAGCTGGCTTTGCTCAGTATTAAGTTTCATAGCTTATCGACTTGTAACTATTAAACAGCTATTCGCTATAGTCTTGTAACTATTCTTTTTTGAATTCTTGCAGGACAATAACTGTTACTGTGAGTTTGAAACTTTCTAGCCAGTAACTATTTTTTCCCCTTGAGAGAATGGGGATATGTGAGTTTCAGGAGCCCATGGATCGCATTAGAGCAGTGCAGGTGGCACCTGTGAGTGAGTGGGAAGGCTCATCCTTTCTCTAGGGTGAAGACGGGTGGAAGTTAGGACGGGACACATGTTTTCTAAGCTTCGTGTGTGACTCTTGACAGATGAGCGGGATAGAAGCAGGCACAGCAGCAGGTCAGAGCGAGATGGAGGGTCAGAGCGCAGCAGAAGAAATGAACCCGAGAGCCCGCGACACCGACCTAAAGGTAGACGGAGCTGTTGCTGGTGGTGGTTTGTGAGGGGTCAAGTGTATAAAGGCATGGTGAGCAACTCCCGTCCTCAGTGGGGTTGCTGTGGACAGTCAGAATTCCTGATTCCACCTTGAGTTTCTTGTAATACTTGGTTCTGGGTCAGGTCAGAAGGCCTTGCACTTCTCTGTCGAGGGAGATATGCTCCTTTAAGGTGATAGGCTGGTTTCTGAATGGCCCGTTTTCCAGATGGCAGGAAAGAATAGGGAGCTGGGGCAGAAGAAGGATTTATTAAAACAAATTATTTATATTTTAGAGGGATATGTTTGCAGAGATAAATTGGATATTCCTTAACATATTATTATAAACACAGATGAAAACTGGACCGTTAAAGTTCAGATATCTTTAAAAGCTGTCAGAGCCTCTTATCCATTACAAATAGGTGCAGTTTATAAATAAAGAAATTTGGGGAATTGACTTTTGGCTAATAGTTCTAGAACCATGTCCTGGTTAAATTAGATGTTTCTAGTGGATGTGTCTTTTGTGGCCCCAGATGCAGCCACCCCTTCAAGGTCTACCTGGGAGGAAGAGGACAGTGGCTATGGCTCCTCAAAGCGCTCGCAGTGGGAATCACCCTCCCCAACGCCTTCCTATCGGGATTCTGAGCGGAGCCATCGGCCGTCCAGTCGAGATCGTGATAGGTGATGTTCT